AACAGAGTACACCGTCAACGGCCGGGGAGTACGATAGAAGGACTCCGTTGATGCAAGCTGAGCTTGCCGAACTGGGCCACGTCTCGGGATGGGAGACCTGCCTCTGGGATCCGGCGGGGCCCAGAGAAAAGGAGCCGGGATCGTTGCCTTGGGCATTTTCTTCGGCTTGGGCAAGAGCTTCCCATCAGCAGAGATCTGCGCAGCTGGCGTGAGGGTTGCAGTCACATGTGATACTCCCCTCCCCACCATCAGCCGTGTAGGCCCGATTCAGCTGACCAGGACGCTGTTGCTGTCTGGCCAGCCGCTTAGCTTTGCCCATGCGTTGAGGAGGCCCCAAATGACGAAACCTGCCTACAAAGGCAGGGATCTCCCAACACTCCCACTCCGAGCCCTGTAGAGACATGCCAAGCACAGACTGTGATCGCAAGCAATCATCAGATGCAATCACATCAGCACAGCCAATTGAAGCACTGGCACATAGAGAAGCCAACATCTCAGATGACAGGGCCCCGGCAGGGGTAGGATAACAGTAGAGCAGTGCAGCGTGATCATCAACGACAGACCTGAGTAGACAAGGTGTCACCCGAAAGAAAGCCAGCAGTGATTGGATAGTAGGCTTCCAGCACCAGGGGAGTCGCGTCTGATCCCCGTCCTGACATTGAGGTGCAGTGGAGCACCTGACCATGGACAAGTTGTAGGTAGGGCTGCAGGACCATCCTTTCATCGGGGCACCGATGCATGAGATGTATTGTAATACGATGCTTTTGCAGCAACGGCAGCAGTGCCCATCAAAGCAGCAACGCCGGCTTCCAGCCGTGGTGTGTAAAAACCGAGAGTCACCGGCTATCATCTCAATATCCGGATGAGCCCTACACAGAGTCCAGCAGCCTGAGGGTAAGATACACGGTAACATTCCCAGTCTCAGACCGAGATGGCTCAAGCGTGTAAACTCCACCCGAGGGAGGGACAGACACATCATTCGCCGCGACACCAGGAGGCAAGGTGACGACACTGGGGTGCATCCGAGGACAGGGTGATCCAGATGCACGGCGAGGGCTGCGACTTCGGGCTGCACCGATGGCAGCATGTTCCGCTCCCATAGCATCGTCCGAGGGCCCTGCTGCCCTGACAGAGGTAAGCTGTTTCCAACCTCGGAAGACAGGCAGCATAAGGTCCATGTAGGCCCCCACCTTGTCGATCTCCATATCCGTGGGGGATACCACCTCGGCCAGCAGGTCCTTACCGCAGTCAGATCCAGCCGAGCAAGGCTTGTCCGCCATGCCAAAACGGGCCAAGAGGTGTCTGGGCAACGAAGATAACAGAGGCTCGATACAAGAGGCAGCGGAAACCCCACCTTAAACTGCGAGTGATGCCAGGCACTGCGAGCAAGTCTAGTCCAATCACACAGCCTTCCCACGGCAGTTCCCCGCCTGGTCGGCTGCCTTGGCAAGAGATCCAGATATGAGGTGATAGGCATGAGGGGCCGTGTTCCAGGGCAGGCAGCACTCATGAAATATTTCAGCACAGCCAGCCACTGGCACCACTTCATATCCGCATTTGATGTACACAGGAAGAGAAGAACACTCCGATCCGATGCATGAGACAGCATCTCAGTTGGGCTGCACGTCCCGGACCAGTCGTAGCCTAAGCGTGACATTGACCGTACCCTGTGAGGGCACTCGTATCTCAACATGATACTCTGAGTCATCCGTAGTCTGCCGTACATCACCATCTCGAGCCACCAAGGCACCAGCAGCGGAACCCGAAGCTTCACCCAGGGTCCCTGTGTCAGCCACCGGCGCAGCAGGCAGATGAATCTCTCTGGGCGACCTGCTACGACGTCGTACATCTGGCGGATTGACACGAGGCGCAGAGGTCTGTGGAGTCGTTGGATTCGTGATCCCAGACACAGGCATGGGTCGCGGTGGACCAAACACCTCTCCTCTGGCCGCCCGCACTCTGCCATCCTGGACATCGCGTTCGAAGTCGATCCGTTCCGCAGTGGTGAGCCCAGCCATCGCCTGTTCCGAGAGCGAGATACTCTGCGGACTGACACTGCCCCAGGATTCAGCACCAGCATCAGCAGTTGGCTCTGGTCGCGGAGAAACGCCGGACATGGCTGCAAGGTCCACCAAGACAGACGCCTAGAAGGCAGGAGGCAGTTCGCCACCGTCACAGCAGAACGATACACTCGAACCATAGCAAGACGGGATCCATCAGGCATCATCCCGACCGCCAAGGAGCAGTGAAAGCCAGTACCTTTAACCCAGTTTAGACCCTGTGCAGCAGGTTCCGTGTGCAACAGAAGACCGTTGGGCAGAGAATGCCGGGGAGCCGACGCAGAACAGTCGTGCCAGTAGGACCTGAACGAGAACCAAAGAGCAGGCTCACCCAGCCCGCCATGCAATCCAACAAGCAAGGTCTGCAATGCACAGCGGCAACTTTTCCGACACAGAGAGTCAGAGTCCGATCTCTCCGCAATCAAATCCTCCTGCCGCACAATCAGGGATGGATCAGGCAGCATTGCCAGGCCCCGGAGGCCCAGTGGGCGGGCCCTTGGGTCGAATGGACGACGAGACCGTCTGAGCCGGGACCGAATCTGCTTGTATCGTGATAGTCCATCGCAAGGAACCAGACTTTGCTGCAGCCACCGGAGGGAGATGCAAGTGAAGCCCGCCCAGCGGTCCGAGATTCGGCGACGTGAAGCTCCAAGGATTGGAGGACGAGGGCGATGTCGTCGACACATCATGCAGTGACTGAGCTGGGGTGGGTACAGGTGGACCAGATGGCACATGCCCAGACCTGAACATCGCGCAACCTGTGTGTACAGCAGGAGCTTTGGCCTTCGGACGTGTTGGTCTCGGGCCCACCTCCATGACTGTGCCTGTACCCAGCAAGGAAGGCCCATGTGATGCCGTTCCCAGCGGTGCCTCTCCAGGGAGAAGCGCAGGCGTTGCACGAACCAGCTCATCTGAATCGGCATCGTCATCTGAGGCCTCCTCATAAGCCGGATTGGCAGGACCAGATTTGGCCTTGGCCTTCGGCACGGTGAGCCCAACCGACTCCTCCATATACGATGAGTCTCTTTTAGCCATAGTGCCCCGCAGCGCAGCTGGGAATCTGCAATAGATCGACAAGGCTTGAGCCACAATGTGTCAGTAGACCAAGACGTGACTGAGATCTGGACATGCACCGGGGCAACACAGTTCAGAGCACCCACATGAGGTCTTTGCCCAATCGACCACGAGAGGAGAGGTTCACTATGGAAGCCTGCGCATGGAACGCTGTAGCAATCCAGGCCTGGCAGAACAATCGGTAAGGGCCAGACACGGGCCGAGGACACCGGTCGATATCCACCAGTGGCAGAGGTATGTGACTTGAGGCCCACACCTGTGATAGCATGAAGATGAAGACGACCCGTGGGTAAGGAATCGCAAACTACGTTTATGCTGAATAGAACATACCAATGGGCTGGAACCTCATGGCATACATACAGTGCCTGCAGGCAGGTGCAACAAGCCAGGCCCTTGGCAGGCCCACATGTGAGTGCGCCACTACGTGCCCTAGCACCCAGCACTCCATTTGACTCATCCTGAGCAAGGACAGCCAGCCAGAGCCCTGACTCCAGCATCTCAGAAGCAAAGGTCCACGTCTACTGTCAGTAGCATCAAAGCTCAAGTGCCATGCCACCCAAAAGTCACACCCAGGTGACAGAGAGCAGGTATCAATCCATCGCTTCCAAGTCGACCTGTTTCGCAGAGGAGAGCCTGAGAGCAAGCCAGTAAGGCCAATCTGATGACGCATGACAGATCTATGCGCAGACAGCTGCTTGACAGGCAACGCAGACCCTTTACAGCCCAATCCAGACAGAGATGGCTGAGTCAGCATGAACTTCGCCATTGGCTGTAACTTCAGCCTGAAAATACTGGCAGCCCCCCTGCATGCACCGATCGAAGGAGTATGCACTGCTGACAGTCCTGAGTGGGGCAGCCGGCTGCACGCTTGCATTGCGACCCAAGGGGTGATGCTTCCCAGACCACGTGTATCCATCCACGAACCTGAGTGCCAGCACAGGCCACTGTTATTAGAAGCGACCTCAGCGGACTCTGTGAATCGCACGTCCTTGTGCTCAACAGTCCTGAGGAGAATAACTAGCAGGAGAGGCCAGCGTCTAAGTAACCACCACAGTATCCCGCCTCGGTTGGCAGGTGCATCCTTGATTTTGTTGGCTGCACTGGTTGTTTGGAGTCCTCCATCCTGACCCTTCCGAAGGATCTGTGTCTTGGAGTCCATGGCTTGCTGAGCAAAAGACGTAAGCCCAGAAGGAACGCCACAGCCCCAACCAGAGAAAACCACAAACCAGGGCAGCCCACTAGCTCGTCGCTGTGAGCCTTATACATACATACATACATACATACATACATACCTACATACATACATGCATACGCAAATACCTATAAGTTTATATGTATGTCGTGTGCTAATTGAACTCCCCCCGTTCCCTCACAAACAAAAAGCAACAGAACAGAAGCCAAATCGGTACCAATTCCGCATGCGCGATCCCCAAATCGTGCTCCCCGCCACAATGCCGTAAATAGATTGGGCGCGACTGGTAGTGACTAGTGAAAACGCCCCACATGTAGGAAGCATTTCAGCTCCTCACCCCCTCGCATGCAATCCAGGGACCCGACAGGCCTGAGTTATCTGAAATTAGTGCTTGTGATCGTAGTTGCAGCCCGGGCATGCTTAAAGGCAGCCTCCATAATCTGAGGCTGGCTTCGCGATGGTCCCCGCATTCATACAAGCTACGACCCGATAAATGCTTTCTTCTAACTCGGTATCCGATCTGTTCTAGAAGCCCTCATATTCACAATACATGTCAGGAGCCGGTGGTGTATTCAGGCCAATCGTACTTCTACTTCAGATATTCAGGCTTACAATTGGCCACAGTGTTCGTTGCAAACGTAGTGCGAGCAGCGGCAGAATCGCAGCTGGGGAGCCAGGATGCAACTTGCTCACGAGCTCCTTGAAACGAGCGAAAGCCTCCTCTTTGGTCCGCTTCTGCAAACACAAGGCCATCCTGGGAACACGGAAGAGTGCGGGGTGAGGTGAAGGAGTTAAATTTTGTCATTATTGACAGAGACATGGCCGAGGCCCCGGCAGCTCATTCAGTCCTTGGGTGTACTCCCTTTCGGACTCTTGGGTCTGCCATGTGAGCAAGAGCTCCTGCGGCACATGAATCTGCGACTTCTTTGATCTTCTTTGCATGCCGGCCCTAGACCCGAGTGCGTGTCCTGGACATTCTTCTTCAACTCCTCCGCTGCTGCGCCAGACAATCCAAAATGGCGCATGTTCGTCCTGGCGCGGAGCGCAGTGGCGATGGCCCAGGCTGGCAGTGAGCCCACGACACCACCCTCGTCCTCATTGCATCCATTTCGATGAGCTGAGCCTTGCATAGCATCCGCTACAGCACTTCACGTCTGGGCATTTGGAAGCCCTCATCAGCCAAGGAGCAGGGCTCGGCATGGCGTATGTACAGGGTTTACAACGGGCTGCGTGACTCTTGGCAGCTGCGGCAGGACTCTGTATGTCGACATGTCGAGTGGCCTGAGAGGGCCGGGTCAGATGGAAGACTGCAAAGTTGAAGAGGCTGTCTCTGCGTGCTGCAACCCTGCATGCAAAGTCCTATCCAGCGAGAGCTGCGTTTCGCCCTTACCTGGGCAGCGTCATGGTCGTGCAGTCACGCCCCCCGACTCGTACAAAATGCCACGCATGCCCAAAGAGCTTTGCTCTTACGGCGCCTTTCGGCCTCGATAAAGAAACTTGACCAAAATGGTGCTGTGGTCGTGAGAAGTACTGTCCGGACTCACCCAAACCCAGACGGCTTTCGAACTGCAAACCAACACCAGTGTCACAGAAACTTCACGATCGAGATCCTGCAACCGACTTCACGAATGCCTTGGACAGCACAGGGTTCCCTGCCTTTCAGGTATGCTCCTCCGCCCGATGCGGTCTTGGCAAAGTGACACTCGCACACATGCATGATGCCACTGAAACAAGCATTGCCTGAGCTGCTCACGCCCCCGGCGCCAACGGAACCTCCCTGCGCTTCCATTCCAGCGCCCTGGAAAAGAGGAAGAGGGAACTTGGTAAGTGTATAAATCGGTGGACGCGGGCGAACGGTGCTACACAGGTTGCTTTTTACAGGTCCATCTTGCCGCACGCAAGAGCTAAATGTCTGTGCGCTGGCGAGCAGGATGAGACTTCAAGCTATGGCTGCCACGGAAGGAGGGGGAGAAAGGGAAAGGAGGTCGAGGGAGATTTCAAGCTGGGCTTCGTGCTGTGGTCAAGTAGTAGCGCAGCCGAGGCAGCATGTAACGTTGACTGGCCAACCTTGCACCGACTTTCGAAGATTTCCGGCCACGAGCCAAGGCGACCCACCACGGCAGTATAGTGAAAATGGACTCTACCAATAAGGATGTCAGAGGGCTGTCATCATCCATGCCCCCCTGGTTCTCAGGGCCACGGCTTGACTTGAAGCTTTGCTTCCTTCGTCCGTGCACGTTGTGCAAAGATCCTTGCAAAAGACAGCTGAGCAAGGCAAACGCAAGGTTGCAGCCGCCTTGCACTGAAGCAGTGAACTCTTCTACATCAGGTCACCACAGGCTATGTCCCTCCGTGCAGCATGCAACCAGCTCGGTTTTCAGAGATCACTCTTTCTTCTTCTCCCAGGCTACTGGTACGAAACAATCTCCTGGGCATCGAGCCCGCGATTTCGCTCTCTCTCTCTCTCTCTCTTTCTTTTTCTTTCTGCAGGGCTCAGGGCTTCAGTTCATTGGCCCGCCCGACCACCCGCTGTTTTATGGAGTGGCCGGCATTGGGTCTTCACTGACCGTGGCAAAATAAGACAAAGTCTGCCCCGTGCTTCATGCTGCAAGCTCCCGCTCTCTCTCACTCTTTCTCCCTGTCGATCCCTCTCTCTGCCTCTGGAGTTCCGAAAAGACCGGCCACAAACCAAACGCAAGAATGCCTGACCCTACCGCAAGGACCCGCCGATGCCTCAGAATGAGCGATGTGCGGTCGAGGATTACACCTGGCACAGAAGCTCAGTGATGCTCGGCGGCAAATCTGGGGCGGGTTTAAGTTGTTGTGCTTTAGGCCTTTGGGCTTTCAGCTGCATTGATTCATCCACCAGCTGATCTTACAGGGACATGACGCTCGATAGCAGAACTCATCATCATGGATTCCAGCAGGAGTTGAGATCATGATTGAAGTCGATGTTAGCCGAAATGTTGACAGCAATCCCGTTGAACAGCTAGATATGGATTTAGTGTCAGCGTCGGCATCTCCGACCCAGGGCGACTGACGAGCTGAATCTACACACGACAGTCATGCACAGCCTTGTGTTGCAGAAAGGCTCTGACTCTCAAATGAGGCAAGGCCCACATTCTCCTTCTGGCCTCAGTCTGCGGTTTCATCCGCGTCAACACTTCTGTGGGCTAGACTTGTTGCTTCGCATAATGGAATACATACAGGATTCGGAGTTTGAGGTCTGCCTGAATTGAAGCTTGTGCTGCATGAAGGTGGTACTCGCGGACAAGTGACTGATACGTTGAAACCTCAAGCATGCACTTTATCCACAGCGCGCCCAAGACGTTGTGCACACTTGAGTACTCTGCTGCACTCTGTTCCACTGCAAAGCCCCGGACGCGATTTGCCCTTTCAGCGTCATCAGCATCCTGAACGACAAGGCCTGCACAGCAATGAGCTGTGTGCTCTGCAAGAGTCTGACTGTTCACACAGCATGGCTGGCAGGCAGCAAATGGTCCTGGTCGAACACGACCACCCCGAGCTCCGGATCGTACTTGACCTGGCAGACATGCACAGTGCCCCAGCATTGCCCTCGGTGGATGGGCTGGACTCGCTGTGTTCGTCATTTTGCGAGCTGCTTCTGAAGCAAACGCTCACAAGTGTCGAAAGCACCCCCCCCCAAAGAGAGAGGGAGGAGCAGACGCAGACGGGGCCTTGGGGGCTGCATCTTTGACGGCTTGCACACCGAGATCCGGCCCAATATCAACTGCACCCTTCAAACGCCACACCGCCAGCTTGAACATCTCAACCCATATCAATTACGGTCTCAGAGTACCCTCGCCGGGCAACAGTTCGACTGCGGCTAGTTCGCCCATTCGGCGCTTCTGCTGCACTCTCCTTCGTAAATAGATGTATGCGGGTAGTTTCTCACAGCCGCGCAACAATCACTTGAACTGTTCGAAACTGAGGAGCTTTTGCTTCTGAAGAAGGAAGGCCTTGAGGAAACTACCCATCATTGTCGGATATGATTGTGGTTGCGGGCCATTCCGCCACAGCAACATCCGATGGACTGCTAGAACTCTGCTACGTCTCCAACTTTGCGTGGCCGATAGCACCTCGCACCTCGTACTCCATGGCAACAACTTCGGACTTAAGTAAAGGCTTGGCCCAGGCCTAAATGTTTGCAAAAACATCTGGCAAAGAATCATATCATGGGCTTACCGACTAGAGGAAGCCCTGCAGGATTAATGTTGCAGTGGAGAAACAGGCACAATACCAGCCATGAACATCAGCCTTGCTCCGCAGCTGCCGCTTTGGCCGGGCTCGTTAAAAAAAAAAACATCCAGCTCCCAATTTCCTAATCCAAAGTACCTGGCACCTGCTGTTGAACCTTGGGGTGGGTAGGGCGAATCGGCACACTTCGCGGAAAACACCTTGAACCAAAGGACAACTCTTTGCTCAGTCTTTATGACTTGGGCCTGGCTCTCAGGTTTTTCCACCACATACATACATACATACCTACCTACCTACCTACCTACCTACCTACCTACATACATACATACATACATACATACATACACAGGTAAACATGTACATGTACATGGACATGAATACGTATATGTATATGCATATGTGCGCATGTATGTCTGTATGTATATCATACGTATGTATATGTATGCATGCATGCATGTATGTGTGTATTTGCATATGTATATACATATATATACATGCTACCCCCCCCGACGCACCTACAGTTTCTGCCTTTCCTGAGGCAATTTCTTGTGCGATTCGACGTGAAGTCTAACAACAAACAAGACTTAGTATGTATACTGCATATGTATAGATATGTGTATCCTCATATAGATATATGTGTAAAGTATATAGTATAGCACCCAGAAACAACCAGCTCCAATGCAGTCAGGTGTCCTTCGATGATCAAATCTCGCAAAATCTAACTTGGGGGTGGCAAGAAGGGAAGAAGCTCATAGCTTGCTTTGGAGAGCCATTTCAAACTCGCAAAAGGCAAGGAGCTCTTAGCTTGCATTGGAGACTCCCGCATCTGTGAGCCACAATGAGCCACGCAAGGAACAACTGCGTTCAAGCCATGCGGGTGCACACACCCGTAACAGTGGCCCACCGCAGTGTGGTTTCCCTGCGAGGCCGATCTCTCAGGTTTTCTTGTGTGCATCTGGCAAAGCGGTGTGCCATGCATACGTTGCTCAAAACCACAAGTTTCGGGCCCAGATAGTGCGGCTTATATGTTTACGCAGTACTTACCTCTTCACCATGCCTTCCATGTAACAAGCAACAACATGTCCAGTACACAACCAGAGGTCTCGTTGGCGGTTCCAGTACTCCCACTGTGCGCTGCGAATCTGTGCAGCAAACAACACGGAGGATGCCTTTACATCCTGTTTCCTGGAGAGTCTGGCTTTGATGAATTTCCACGCGCTGTCTACACTTTGGGTTCCCGCTTCACAGGAAATTCTACGGCCGTCAGGCAACTTGTGCTTCGAGATGCGAACGAAGGTCGGCTTCAACCACACCCATTTTCCGTCTTTCTTGACACGTTTCTTGTTGTGTACCACCACATCGTCGGCCGAATCCGTGTGGAAGACAACGTTGCGGTTGGCGATGTGTTTCAAAGCCAGAAGCTTCCAATCCACCTTTCTGATGGCACCAGGACCCGGCGCACGAGGGACCGTCATTGCTGGATTTAGCTTGGTCAAAATGAGGGTTTCAGGAGCGCCATGCTGCACGATGGCTCCCCACTGCTCCCAGAGCACTTGTTTGTCATGGTTGTCCGCGCCGAGCTCCTGAGGACAAAGAATCTTTTTATCAAAGGTCGCCTCGTCGGCTTCGACCTTTTTCCAAGCCCTTGGACAGCCGCCGAACTTGATTGCCTTTTCCGCCTTCTGGACATAGCCCTTGTGCATAAACAAGATGTTCCGATTGAACTTCTCCAGGGCCTTGTGGTGTGTGAGCAGGTGGACGCAGGACAGCGGAACATTGAGGAGACGAAAAAGAAGAGCTGCAGGCTGCACCTGCAGCGAGTCACCTCTGGCCCGTTCGTTGCTGTGAGGGAGCCCCTCTTGTTGCACCTGTAGCGCAGGATGTCATCGCGGCCATTGTTGCCGAGCTTGCCACATTGACAGTGCGGACACACACAGCCTTTCCAACTGGTGAGAATGCCGTCAGCGATGAGGATCTCAATGATTTTCTCATTGCTTGCCGAGAGGAGTTCCTGGATGGTGCGGCGCCATTTGGCCTTCTCCAAACGCACATGACCACCCGTGTTCTTGTCTTTCGGGAAGAGCGGCATGGTCATTGTCGTGGTAGAAGATGGTCTTGGCGTGAATGCCTGCGAGCTCGGGGGGGTTCTCCTGGATGAACCTTCGGTCTGTAAACGAACTCTTGCCCACGACGGTGTTGCAAAAGGCTACAACTTCACCGTCCAAAGCAGCCTGAAGCAAATTCAAGGACCATTGAAGATGCTCGTTGCTTACTCCGAGGGTCGAAAATTTCCCTTCAACCCCTCAAGTAAGCGTGATACTTAGGCCTGGCAGACAAGGACACCATCCGTAGTCCTTGTCTGGCCAAGCATGACGTTTCACGGGCTCTTTCTTGGTGCTTGGAGGACGGACGTAAATGCCAATGTCTGTGAGTCTGTGAAGACGACAACCGCTGAGCGCTTAAACACAACGATCAGATCTTCTTCATTGAAAGTTGTGTGGAAGGATGGACGCACAATCTTGAAAAATGTCAAACGAAACCTCATCCGATGTAGCATTCGCGGCCATGGTTCTTCCCTGCGGTCGTAAGGATTGGAGCATGCCTGGCAGGATTGGTTCTTCTCGTAGGAAAAAGCGTTGTGCCGAGCCATCGTCGTACGATCAATCCCAGAGACCTCAGTGACAGCCCGGATGCAGGTTGTTCCAAGTTCGGGTTCCCGTCACCGAAGACTCTGGGTTTGGTGCGATGCCCACGCCCTTTGCGGAAATTGTCCAGCTGGCTGGCGGTTTGAAAGCTAGGCTTGTCATCCGAGCTGTCCTCTTGAATCTTCCAAAAAAGCAGACATCAAGTTGGCCATGGTGTATGACAACGGACTCTTCCCGATCTCGGATTTCCCAATCCAGATGATGGCATGCTCCAGGACGAATGGCAACAACGGCGCAACGACAAGGTTCAGGGCCCGCGGCTTGAAGTCGACCAAATAAAGACGGCCAATCGGAAATGGTGTCGGACTGGCTGCCCTGATCTGCAAGGCAACGAAGAAACTCCTTGATGGTGCCTTTGTCCCACCGATAAAGCCTGCCGTTGGGGTTGTGAAACCTCCTCTTCCGTCCTTGTTGTAAACTGGCCAGTGGAGTTGTCCTGGGGGCCGTACTCGCGGATGTATTGGGAACCTTTGCGGACGTCTTCTGTTTCCCTGCTAAGTTTGGTGTTGCTGCTTGCAGGCACGAGCTTGTGGTATCGAACCTGGAACCCACCCATGCCCTCCAGAAGGTGCTGTAAGGCGCGGCTGCCGTCCTTAAAGCTTTTCTGGTAATCGATCTCTAAAGCACGGCCAACGGATATGGACCTGATGGTGTTGTGCATGACCTTCACCCCGTCAGCAAACCGGATGTGTTTGACGATGTTCCATTTTCCTTCTGCGACGGGTAATACTTCCAGCTGCATAGTGAATGGGGCCATGTTCTTGCCGAGGACTTTGATGGGATGTGGAAGATCTTCGTAGCACTGTTGAAGAAACAGGGTTTCTACCTCCTTCAAGTCGATAGTTCCCTCGTACGCAAGAAGGACATCTAAATTTGGACCTTCCTTTTTGATGCCATCATGGATTTCGTCTCTGGCAGGCAGGTCACCGATCTTGGCAAGGTCTACGGATTTGTTCATTATCATAGGCCTTTCCAGCCCCACCACTTTCATGCCGTCCGTGTTGGCTCTGGCTTCAACCCAGGTGATGTTGCCATCTAAATTCGTTTCGTTTACCGACTGCGCCAAAGAGATTGAACGGTGCGGAGCAACCGATGCCGTGGTTTGTCTTCGCGGCTTGAAGGATCTAGTAGGGTGTTCAATACTACCGCACACTAACAAAAGAATCATAGGAAGGATCGAAACCCAGGGCAAGATCCGTCAGGCAGTGTTCCTATGCGTCGCTCCCACTCTGTGGGAGCGCACCGCATCGGTTCACCAAGCGGCTCCGCGTAGTCAAAGATGATTCGCATGCTTCCAACGAAGGGGGCGGACATGATTGCCAAAGCTACGCGTCGAATCTTTGTGTGGCTGGAGCTTGCGCCAGCAGCTTCGCGAGTATGGCTTTGCGTGTCGGAAGCCTAGAACATTGCAGCTTTCATGGTTTTGGGACTGTGGGAAAGCACAAGTACCAAGACATTGGGCTCCAGGTTATAGGACTGTGTGGGAGAGCACGATCTCGCGGCAAAGGGACTGTCTGGGAAAGCACGATCTCGCGGCTTTGGGACTGTGTGGGAGAGCACGATCTCGCGGCTTTGGGAACTCTCTGTGAGAGCACGATCTCGCGACTTTGGGAATGTGTGGGAGAGCACGACTTTGGAATCTCTCATGGTTTTGAGCATCCTGGCACGCGAAAGTGCAGACAGATCCCAATGTTTTGAGGGTTTAGGTGGCCAAAACATTGGGACCTCTCTTGGTTTTGAGCATCCTGGCATGCGAAAATGCTGAGAGGTCCCAATGTTTCGAATCCAAAACATTGCGCTCCTGGTTGAAGGACTGTGTGGGAGAGCACGATCTCGCGGCTTTGGGACTGCGTGGGAGAGCACGACTTTGGGACCTCTCAAGGCTTTGAGCATCCTGGCACGCGAAAGTGCGTGCTGAGAGGTCCCAATGTTTTGGACGTATATTGGGACCTCCCATGGTTTTGAGCATACTGGCATGCGAAAGTGCTGAGAGGTCCCAATGTTTTGGGGTTCAGGAGGCCAAAACATTCGGGTTTTGAGCATCCTTGGCACGCGAAAGTGCTGAGAGGTCCCAATGTTTTGGGGGTTTAGGAGGCCAAAACATTGGGACCTCCCATGGTTTTGAGCATCCTGGCATGCGAAAGTGCTGAGAGGTCCCGATGTTTTGGAGTTCAGGAGGCCAAAACATTGGGACTTCTCTTGGTTTTAAGCATCCTGGCATGCGAAAGTGCCGAGATGTCCCAATGTTTTGGGGGTTTAGGAAGCCAAAACATTGGGACCTCTCATGGTTTTGAACATCCTGGCATGCGAAAGTGCTGAGAGGTCCCAATGTTGTGGGGTTCAGGAGGCCGAAACATTGGGACCTCTCATGGTTTTGAGCATCCTGGCATGCGAAAGTGCTGAGAGGTCCCGATGTTTTGGACGTATAGGAGGCCAAAACATTGGGACCTCTCATGGTTTTGAGCATGCTGGCATGCGAAAGTGCCGAGATGTCCCAATGTTTTGGGGGGTTAGGAAGCCAAAACATTGGGACCTCCCATGGTTTTGAGCATCCTGGCATGCGAAAGTGCTGATTGGTCCCAATTTTTTAGGACGTATAGGAGGCCAAAACATTGGGACCTCTCATGGTTTTGAGCATACTGGCATGCGAAAGTGTTGAGAGAGCCCAATGTTTCGAATCCAAAACGTTGTGCTCCTCTTTGAGGACTGTGTTGGAGAGCACGATCTCGCGGCTTTGGGACTGCGTGGGAGAGCACGACTTTGGGACTATGGGAGAGCACGAATTGCATAGGTACGTGTGGGGGGGGACCATATGTATAGATATATATATATATAGACATATGTATATATGTGTGTATGCATATACACATATATACATGCATGCCGGTATACATTTGTGTGTATCTATACCTCATGTTTCATAGAGAAGTGACCTGTCCTACCTCTCACGCGGCAAGTACGGCCAAGACAACTGTGCAAAAATAAGGCGCACTCCAGCCCTGCTGGAGGCCCAAAAGATCCCACAGCAGTTGCAAGTGCTTCTGGCGAAATGTGAGAATTAAAAAGAAGCTTCGTCAAGGAAATCGCAATTGGGAAGGCCGAGCAGTCTGTTCATGAGCCAGCAACGTGGCACATAACATTCGTCAACATAGACTGATGTATGGCTATCCTTCCGACAAGCTGGATTGCTTCGAATCTTCCTGCAATCGCACCTTGAATCACTGCACCCTGCATTCGGCCGACGTCAAGCGTTCCAGTTGCAGTTTTAGCTTTTCTCGGTACCCGCCACGGGGAACTGCTTGACAACAGACCGTTTGCAGGTACATAAAAGCAAGGACCGCCAACTCAGGCCAGCCCGAGGACCTCCAGCTGCAATGCATGCTCAAGGGTCGCTGGCTTCCATCAGCAAGCTGCAGGACTTGTGAGCATCCAAACTTCGACCGATCCGAACACAAACGGATTACTCCGTGAAAGCTGTGACATCAGGCTGTAGTGGGAAGCAACCCACTTCAAGAGCTCATGCAGCACAGAGTCTCTGCTGCCTCATCCAAACAATCGAAAACGTCTGGCTCGAGATGTCCGCGCCCTGTCACCGAAAAAGGGAGCTATCGACAGGAAACCTCCCTGCACAGTGCCCCTGTCAGGAAAAACTGGCCCTCTCAATCACACCTTTGCGGCCATCAACCCTGAACCTGAAAGCCCACAGCTCCAACTCTTTCTTCTTCAACACAGACGAAGAAAAATCCAAAACCCTACACCAATGTCAAAGAGCTCTAAACTCTAAACGCCAAGTCCAAGAACAACGTTCCGCTGTTGTGCTCACATGCGTGCCACACATTGTTATCAGTAGACAACATGATTTGTTCCAAGGTGCGTTGAGCTACGTTTTGGGCACATCGCGACATTTCTGGGCAAGGGGTACTCGAGTACAAGATCGAACACAAGACAGCCTCAAAATCCAAACAAAAAGATACACGCATCACAACATCATGAATCCCCTGATAAATGGATGCCATGGGAACATGGCCCTGATCGTCGTTCGGGCATGGATCCCTGGATATACGACGGAAACATGGACGCAATCATCCATGGGTCATCGTTTGGGCATTGGTGCTCTGCTAAATGGACCCGATGGGAACATGGCCGCAATCGTGTTCGGGCATGGATGCCCAGGTCATGATGGGTACATGGACGTGCGCATGGCGATGTTTTCGACTTGCTAACCACGCGAAATGCTGCAAACATCGATGTCGCGAAAAGTCTGTGGATGTTGGAAAATCGCAACCAGTGACAACAATGGCAAGATGTTTTCCACATGCGATCCACACGAGACACGGTTTCATACCGATGTCGTGCGCGCGCACGTGAACATGCCATCGAAGCCAAAAGCAAAGAAACCCGCACCCAAAGAGCACTGGCTTTTGCGGTTTCTCTGCCGAGGCGCGGTGCTTGCGCAGCCGTGTCGGTTGCCTGCGACGGTCCCGGGGAAATGCCATGGAAGTCCTCCACGGGCTTCACCTCAAGCTTCCAACGTCTTGTGGGAGATTGAGACGTGCTTTAAGGTGCGCGTGTGTAGATAGATAGATAGATAGATAGATAGATAGATAGATAGATAGATAGATAGATATAGATAGATAGATAGATAGGTAGATAGATAGATAGATAGATAGACAGACAGATAGATAGATAGATCT